TTGATTGTGTAATCTTTCCTTTTACAGTTATTTGTAACATTATAAATAGGGTTTTCTACATTGTAATATTTACTAGACCATAATAATACAATTTATATTTCTTGACAACTGTCGCCGTGATGATCAAAATTAATCTCCCAAATACTGCACCATCTTTCAAATCCCATCAACACCACCATCAACATTAACGTAACACATGTATTACTTGTAAGGTAATGCACATATTACCACCATCATAATTTAACATATCTTAGATAAAAATAACCCAAACATTGCCAATCGGCGCCTCCCACCACCACCGTCACCGCCACAATTAGAATCAAGATCCCACATACTATCAACGTCTTCCAAAATTCCACCAATATCGCCATTAAATTAAATACATGTATTACTTATGAGGTTTAACACGTATTACCACTACAGTAACTCGATATATCTTAGCCAAAAACAATGCCAATCGATGTGTTGTGCCGTCACAACAATCAGAATCAAGTTCTCGAGCACTACCACCATCTTCCAAATCTCATCAATATCCCCATCAACATTAAGGCAACATATGTTACTTGCAGAGTAACACACATGTTACCACCGTCATAACTCAATATAACCTAGCCAGAAACAACTCAAACATCGCTAATTGATGCCTTTCATCATCGTCTTCGCCATCGTGCCAGCATATGAGATGCCATTCACCACTCCATTTAAGCACCCTACCTAAAATCTATCACTAGAAAACTCCAAATTTAAAGCCAAAAAATACATTCAAGCTCTCTAATTTTTCCCATAGATTTAAATCTGGTTTCAAATCTAATTTCAAAAACAAGATCTAAAATCTCTTTACATCATTGTCGATTGCAAAAGGGGTTGTGGCAACGAGATGGGGGAAGAAATAGGAGGCGGCGGCGGCGATAACAGTTATAAAAGAAGGTGGTGGTTGTTGCTCAAATGGTGGTGCTGAGGAGGTGGTAGTACAAATATATGTGATTGTTGTTGTTTAAGTTGATTACAGATGCGAAAAATATGATTGTGTCATCCTAGTAGAGATTTTGGCAATGGTTTTCACTTCATCGATCATGCGATGGCGATGGTGACAATAAGGTTGGTTGATATTTGTAAGAAGCGAATGTTTAGGGTTTTGGTGGAATTTGGATAGTTCGAAAATGTTTAGAAATTGATATTTAATTATAATGGGGTGAATTTTGTTAAAGACTAATTAAAATGGGCAACTATTATTAAAAATAAAAATGAGATAAATTTAAAATCTTTTAACAAAAGTTGGTGTTACGTATAATTAAACCTCTTGGAATTGAGCCGCTTGGCCAACGGGCAGACCGGACCCATAGCCACCCTTACCTTCCCTGTCAATGACCTTTCCTTTCACTCCCTAACTATTATAAAATTTTCTCCCAAAATGAGACTCAAACAAACCCTAAGTTTACTTACACGTAAATTATAAAATATATTTTTTTTTTTTTGCTCTCTTGAAGTTGGATTACATGTTGTTTATTTTGGCAATAACATAACTCCTAAAATAAGTAACTATTTTATCGTAAACAAAAAGAAAAGTAACTTGTCTATTTGAAAATAAAAAGTTATTTGAAAACCAATTTTAATTTTTTTATGCTCATTCATACATGCTCTAAACCACAAGACAAAGCTAAAGAAAAAATTGTTAGAACATCTTACAAGCACCTTTAGCTCATCCTCCTCAAGCACCAATACCAACTTCTGCTACCCCTCAGCTGTCCATAGCTAGTCTAGATGAGGTATAATTCTATCAATTTTTTTGGTCAAAGATTCTTTGGAAATTTAGATTGCAGACTATTTTAGCAAAAAATAGCAATAACGCAGTTTAGTTAATCATCAAATTATAAGCCAAAAAATGTAATTTTCAAAAAATTAGCCAAAACCATCAACCAATATTAGACATTCACCATTTTAATTTTGTGAGTGATATAACAGCAATCCAAACAACCTGTCGATGCCACATCAAATGGATGATAATTTTGGTTTGGTCAGGGAGTAGTATCCATAAAATCAATCAAAATCTAAGCACGGAAGGGATCGGGAAGTAGTAGTCACAGATGTGCAAGAACAATTACTCCAGCAAAATACTCCAGCAACAGCAAATATACAAGAACATGCAGTAGTAGTTTTTGTACATAAAGGAAGACAATAGAACATTGTCGACTTTTGAAACCTCAATGAGCAACGAACCAGATGAGACAAATTAGGATAAGAACAACTCCTCCAACCATCAGCTTCATGCGAAGATTTTGCAACCACATTTTCCGACGTAGCTGCCTTCCTTGCCTTTGAAAGCTGTCAGCCTGAACAAATTGCCGTACACAAATAAACTCTCTTCTTTTTCCAGGCACATAAAGCAGCGAGAAAGATAATACTCACCTGGAACTGAAGGTTTTCTGTTTTATCCACCAGCAATTCTATCTTTTCTCCGCGATCCAAAACCTGCAAAACAGAATGTCTAAATATTAGTCCTTCAATTGGCTATGAGCACTTCGAAGAAAACAGATTCATAGGAATCAATGGCTTCATCATAGCCAAAATAAAATTTTCCCACTACAAGTAGAATACATATATGTAACTCACATCAAAGAAACAATATTTGTCCCACCTTAACTTCAATATCTTCATAAAATCAGGCTACAAAAAGTTAACCTACACTGGATTGCTATCACCATATGAATCCCAATCAAATTATTCCATGTGGAAATTGGGGGGTGTAGTTTCATTGATGTTTATGCATGTACTGCAATTATAAGCATAAAGAATAATAAATAAATTAAATATTAACTAATCCAACCCAATTACTTCACATTATCTCCTTAAGACAATTTGTTTCCTCTGCTGCTCCTAGGACTCGAGCAATTGCATCCAGAGTTCATACAGATTTTTTATTCCAAAGGAAGTTTCACCCAACACAATGGAAATGAAGAATTGAAGAGGGAGACTGGTATATTTTTTAATTTTTTTGAGGGCATAAACGAAAGAAGCCATATTTATCGCATTTGGACATGGTTATTAGGTTAAGATCCATGACTTCCCAGAAAGTTGCAACTATTGCAAGAAGTCGTGGGGTAACAGACACGGGTCTGGAGAGGAAAGGGTTCAATTGTTTAAGTGAAGGGTCACACCAGCTGGGCAAAATATTTAAACATTTTATTTATTTTAAACATACCATTAGAACACGACACACTGTATGGCCAGAAATAGCTTGCCCAATAGGTCAGGTATAAAATTCAAAGTGTGCACTGTTTGGGCTTTAAACACAACTATTCAGAATTCAACAATAGGACATCTTCCGACAGGTACATCCTCTGATACACCTAAGGGTTCAACCCATTTGCAGAATAATCCATTTTTCCTTTTCCCAAACAATGTGGGGCAACAACCAAAATATAATTATTCCTCTTTCCATTTAATTTTCCAAATATAGCCCCTGTTTGAGGCACATTATTTTTTTCATTCTCATTCTTCTAATCATTTTCAATCACACATTCTTCAATAAAATAATATTTTCTATCACATCAATAACTTTTCCTTCTTTTTCAACCACATATTCCCCATTACTTCACTTCAAAAAAATGCATTCTCTCATTTTAATATGCAACAAACAGGCTTATATACTCTCTTCATACTTCTCTCCTAATCAATGTGGGATAAAAGTCTTTCCTTTTCTAACAGATAAAGGCCAATTCCTTCATTCATCCTTTCTTTAACTCTAACGGGGGTGTATGGCTATGAACAAGACATTCCCACTAGGATAGTATGTCCGTGTCTAACATGTCTCAATCATGTCATGTCATGTCGGGCAGTGACACTCCAGGACATGTATCCGAAAAGTCACATGGCTTATCCTATTTTCTAAATTTCTGACACTTGAGGATAATTTAGGGACATTCATATGGCAAGTGTCTGACGTGCCATGTGTCGTGTATGTGCATGTCTCTATATATATCTGTCATATTGTTTTGAAAAATCAAGTGTCTATGTCAATGCTTCTTAGGTATAGGATAAAGAATTTACGTCTTACGACTCATGAGAATATTAAAGATCTC